ACATTAACCATTACTCCTCTCTGGAGTCATTTGTCTAAATACAAACATCCAAATACAGCTGGCTTTATTTGATGATTCATCTTAACAATTCTCAGTATGTTCTATCTACTTGTGTTGAACTTCTTTGTCTCTCTTCCCAAAACCATACCACCCACATCCTTTAAGACCAAGCACTGTGGTGTGACTTCCATTTAGCTTACCTTGATCCCAACAACTGAAAGTGCTCACTCCTGCCTAATAATTCTACAGTGTTTCTACATCTCAGGTAAAACTTACCACTCTCAACCTTGGATGTACAACTCCTTCCTGTCCATGGCTGAACCAACCTTTCTAGCCTGTTGTGCTCCCCACCCAATGTGAATATTTCCCCACAGTACCCATTAACCAAAAAAGTCACTCTTCTGAAAACAGCAGGAGGATGCTGTTTCCTTAAGGATATTCATATTGTTGAGTGCCTCTTCCAGAATTCACAAATACTCTGTCCAATGATTTAGATGGATATATCTATGTTACCCCTAAGGAGTATGCATTTTTTGGTGTGGAAACAGATCCCATCTGATTCATCTTTAGACCTCATAATACACATAATGGCATCTTTGAATGTGGCTAATTAAATAACTGTTTACTTAATCCAATAAAGAACACACATTTTGTCATTTATTTTTAAACCAGTATGATAAAAGAATGAAAAATACACTGATGTAGATATGTAGAAAAATGTAGATATAAAATTAAAGTTGGAAAAAGATTTTACTCTGCTGTTCTCCATCTACTTTCCAAATTCTCTTTTCAAATACACTTGCCAATGTCTCAAATGAATTATCTGATATTACCACCTCCGAATCATCAGGAACAACTTGGCACCCATGCTACACACTCTACAAACTACAGTTTTTATTGTTATCCATGATTTAACCACCAACCTAAAGACTTTTCTCAATTCCTGTTATTATTTTTAGTATCTATGGAATTCAACATTGATGGCCACCCTATTTTCTTTCCATTTTTAATAATGGAACCACGTTTCCATAGCTCTCTCCCAGTTTGCAGGATCCTCTTCTTCTACTTCCTGTAGGTGGACAATCCCCTAGTCTTCGTCTATTCTTTTATTCAATAAATGAATGGGCATTGACTCTCTTCCACAGCAGAGGCAACAAGCCAGTGAACAAACTATCCCACCACATGGTAAAATACAACAGTTACAGTGCCACAAGGTGCTCTGGGAGCAGAGCAGATGCCTGGCTACATCCCTTACTGTTCTCTCTTCACACCCATCCACTAGAAATTGCCTCCTCTTTTCATCCTTCAATAACTTCTGTCCTGACCTGTGTGTAACTGTCCAGTATTTTCGACTGTTGTGGTATGTCTCCACTTTGATACTCTGTACTCCTTAAACAAGAAGAAAGATCACGAAAGAGAGCTCTGTTACTTACAATGAGCCATGAGCTGTTCTATGTGCATCTGTTAGCTGATTAATCTTCATTAAAACCCTGTGAATTAGGTACTAGTATCATTTACACTGTGAAGAAGGGAAAATGAAATGGAAGAGTTTAAATAGTTCAATATTGCATAAATCAGTAAATGGTAAGGTTAAGGATTCAAGGAGTCCAAGTTCCAAAGCCATAGTTCTTAAACATTACTGTGCTGTCCCCAGACTCATCCTGAACCAGCTTTTCAACAGAATTTAGCTCATTAATTAACTTACTTGATGGCTTTGGAGCCCATAGAAAGAGAGATCATCAAAATTTTTAGATACCTAATTCAACAAAGCTGACTGTAGTTAGTCAGTGAGGCAGTGTGGCCTCTAAGAACTTGATTTCAAGAATCAAAATTCTTGGGTTCAAACACAACTTGAGCTACTTAATGTCCACATTGCTGATTCCAGATATGGACAGGAAATATATCCTAGCATTCCTTAAACCAAAGAAGCTGTCCAAAACTTTACTGGCCATGACAGTAGGCAGGAGCCACCTGGAAGGGTTCCAATTCACAAAGCAGTGCGAATGTAGGAATAATAATGAGGACCATATTCTGAGGCATATTGAGAGTGTGTGTGCATTTGTGTGAATATACATGCACACACATGCCGGTATATTCACATACATAAGAATGAGGTGAATCCATAATGATGCTCTGCAAAGACGATTCTTAAAAAGTTACTAGGGCATTAACCACCTTTAAAGGTTACTAGGGCATTAACTTATTACTCTGAAAATTTATTAATAAAGTCAAATACTCAAATATTTTTCTCCTATTTGTTGGTGATAGGGGAAGAAAAATTATAGCTAAGTAGTGAAAAAGAGTAAAAATTGGAAAACCACATTTTGGCAATCACTAATGAAATAATAGATTTTGAAGATGATCTTTAGGGGATAATACAATAGGTAAAAGGCTATAGTAAATGGATTAGGATGATAGTTTCCAAGCCCATTGATCATGACATTAATAATACTGAAACAATTTGATGTTATATTCCTTTGTTAGAAATACAATACAAATACACAGCACCACCAATGCAGTCCTTCTCCCCAAAAGTTAACCCCAAATGTAAATGAGCTGCTATATCTCAATATTAATTTATACAAAATATAAGCAGTAAGGAAAATTGTTTAAAACTAAGGATACAGGCAGTTAAAATCAAGATATGGGGAATCCCACAGGAAAAAAGACCCAGTTTATTTAACAAATAAATAGCATGAAAAAATATGAGAGGATATTGTTACAAATTTAAAAGACACCTAAGGTATCTGTCCACAAAAGGCAGTGCAGGACTAATAGTTGAGACAAGCAAAAAAAAAAAAGCAATTAAGGAATTACTAATTTTGATGAGAGAAAGGTATGTCATTATCTTTTTAAATGTTATATTTTAAAGAAGCAAAAGGAGACATTAACAGATGAAACTGAAAGAAAAACAGTGGAGTAGCTTCCACTTCAGGAAGGTGGGGAAGAGGGGGTGAGGCCAGGAGAAAAATGCAGGTGGCTGGGAGCAGGTACAGGAGTCTCTGCTGATGGGCTGTCAAGGCCTGGGGTGATGCTGTACTGCAAGACATTACCAGAAGATTGGTCAAAGGTGCAAGAAATTGCTCTGTATTATTCCTTCCAGTTCCTTATGAATCTCAAAATTAATAATTCAATGAAAGAAAATAATCTGGCAGCGCCAAGGATAGCTGAAACAAGAATGGCAGAAAATCCTATGGCTAGGGAAGACTGTAACCCATTTTGAAAAGGAAGAACCCATTTCAATTTTCTCTTTCTTCATTAGCTTGAAAATTTCCATAACAAAAAAAGGTGCTTTCAGAGGTGAGAAAAGAATACCATTTCTCTGCAGAGTGGAATCATCATCTGACTTTCCTAACTGTTCTATTTCTAGTTCTTCGAAATCCCATACCACTCAGGCATCCTACACACTCTTGCTAGCTTTTCCTTCTACGAGGATATTTTGACGCTGTCATTCCTTTGCTGATGAAGAAGCCAGTTACTTCAGGATAAAGTCCACATGTCTCCAGATCCCTCTCTGTCAGTCCAGTGCAACCTTCTGCTCACCCCACACACCTTCTCCCTCACCGCACACTTCAAGGCGACTCATTTCATAGTCCCACAAGTGCGATGCTGGACAAGGTGCCCTTGTTCTGGCCAGGCTTCTCTTTCTCTTCTGCACTGATCTAAGTCCCACCCATCTTTCAAAAAGCAGATTAAAACCCACCTCCTCATGAAACTCCTCCAACCTTTCCTTAAGGTAACTCTGAGTCTCTTCTGAGCGAGGACTGTATGTTATAGCACAGAGTCTACCAGATCTTCTGACACAATCTAAGTTTTGATTTAACGGAATGAATATATAATGTAAAGCCCTGGAGAGATTACTAAATTATAGAAAGAAATAAAAAAAGGAAGTAGAAATGTTAAAGAGATTCAAAAGTAAAAATTGGAACTCGGTACATTTGAATTTCAGACAGCAATACATATGTAGAGCTCACTGTGTCACCTTAGGGCACTCATCAAACACACCTTGGCAGTGGATACTAACATGTAAAATGAAAGATTATACAGAGTTCCCACTTTTTAACAGACAATACTGTACTTGTCTCTGGAAAAAAAGGTTCCCAAATGCTCCAATGGATTCTAACTTGAAAGATCATTTATAAACAATACTCATGAATACAGGCTAAATTTGATATGAAACACAAAAAGCAAAACCATATCCCTCAGCTGCTAGCTTTTAAACACAACTGAGTTGATGAGAATAAATTGCATGAGAGACCACAGGAACTGGTCTACCATCTTTTACATGCAGTAAATTCAATGAGACTTCTTAAACACCTATATGCCCTGGGGGAGGTTGATACCATCTCTCTCCCCGTTGCATGAAAATTTTTCCATCCTATAAGTTGGCGCTCACTGTCCAGGATGCAGGGTATGAAGGAAGAAACATGTTCAATCCAAGAATATGACCTAGTCAAGAGACCATCACAGTCTCCAAAATAAGGAAGCTGAGGCTCGCTAGGACAGGAAGCACACGGAGAAGAATACAGGACAGGGTTAGGAACTAAGAGGATAAATTCCACTTTGCCTTAAGAAAGGGCTGTTGCTCTCTGAGCAGGCCTTGTGTATGCAGGAAGGTCACAACTCAGTCTGCCCTCAACTGACTCCCTGGAAATTCCCAGGCTGGAAGAGAAGAGAGTTGTATGAAAACCAGCTCTACCCACCACTGGACCTCCCTGAAACTCAGGGCAACTGCCACCAAAGAGACGATCGTGAGCAAACGAATGGGGAGGAAGCACCCTTGCTCTAGAACTTTGATTTGATTAGGCTGATTCCATGAGGGAGCCCAGTGCAGTCAGGTGCTGGGCCAGGGGATGAATTTAGTAGCTTAAGCACGGGACCTTGGGGATGACTGAGCAGAGGTCTCAGTAACCCAGACAATAGTCAGGGGGAGAAAAGCAAGGAGCAGCAATTCATTTTTCTCTGCACTGGGTTTGCAGCACCAGGGTCCTGGCAGTTACCTGAGGTTTCTTCACCTTAATGATCCAGGTGGGCGGGACTATAACGGCAGCATGAGCCCCCAGGGAGCAGGGTTCCTCAATGTGATGCAGCATGAAACAGGTCACCTTATTGTGAAACTGAAGAGAAAAATGGGCTAATAAGCAATTCTAGGCAAAAGGTAATGTCACAGTAAGAAGGAGTAAGTGCATGCACACACACCATGCATGCACATCCACCTCCCCAACACACACACAGGCATGCGCGCGCACACGCACACAGACACACACACACACACACGCACACACTCACACACACACAAAGGGCACTTCCTTCTCAATACCACCCAACCAGCCCCAGGAGATTAGAGACCAGCTTTCTATTCTGCCAATATAGACTTTACCACAATTATTAAGGAGAAATCAACATGGCAGAACAAGGCAGAAACGTGGAAGGTTCTAGTAATCCCTACTGCACACAGTTGTGTTTCTTCCCTGGTGCTCGTCACAGACTTGGTTGAGTAAGGATAACGTGGAGAAGGAAATGAAGGCAGCTAAAAGGCAAGGCCGGCCCTCTGCCTCTCCTTTTTCCATCAGAGACAGCAATCCCCCGAGGTTCTCTCTCCAGTTAGAGAAGCCAGGAGAGAGGCAGGATGTCCCCTCTAGAAAGTTAGGAAACCCAGAGGTAACAAAGTATAAAGAGAGTGCCTGGCCTGGGGTTGTGGCTCAGTGGTAGAGCGCTTGCCTAGCATGTGTGGGGCACTGGGCTGGATTCTCAGCACTGCATACCAAAAATAAATAAAATTTAAAAATTCATCAACAACTAATAAAAATATTTTTTTAAAAGAATTTTAAAAAAAGAGAGTGCCTCTGCTCCATTCCTCAACAGCCTTTTAAAAAAACACGGTGCCCTAATACACTTGGCAAGCCTGAAGTGCTTTTTGGTTTTGAAAGGAAGAAAGGAAGCAACTGCAGATTAATAATCATAACAGCACCTCAGTGTGAGGGGCTTAACTGGGCACCCCAGCTTGAGGCTGGGACTGATGGCCAGGGGCCATTCACACTTGCAATCATCTTTTGACTAGAGTGATAGCAACGTGCAGTAACATTTATCTTCTAACAAACATAAAATCAACATTATACAATAATTAGGGCCCTCAGATTTTAATTATAGTGATTTCTTCGAACTTCATGTCAGTTTCGACTTGGTTTATATTTATTGTGATCATATAATTTATCATTTTAGCTGGAACAATTTAAAAGTGAAGGGGATCACTGATAATAACTATGTGAGAAAAACAGACATAAATCAGGACTCAGGAAAACTAGCAAATAGAGCCACTGTAATTTTAATAATACTTTTTCATGTTTGCATATCTTTAAGATCTGCTGTGATCCAGTAGCTAATTACTAATTGGTCAATTAAGGATAAAATACTTATTTGCATTTGAGTAATCTCCAATCTAGTGACTAAGAGGCAAATTCAAGATCCCACAGCTTTTAAATGGTGGAACCAGGATCTCAATGAAGGAAACTCAGCTACCTAATCCAAGGTCCATTCTTGTGTACCATAGAGATTCACCTGTTTACCTATACTGTTAAAATACATCATGTTTATAATATGTGTGAAAATTTTTTATTTATAATACTTGACAAACCACCTTCTACCATGTGAGAAAGGGGGAAATTCAGATTCATGTGGAATCAACCAAAGGTCTGCCTTAATGGTCAAATGAAAGTTCAGTCTCTGTATTAACTCAGTTGGACTATAAATTAGAGAGCATACATGTTCATTGGAAAGGGGCTTGCATTTCCAAATTGACCCTGACAAACCATCTGACCCCACCCTGGTAGCAACATGGTGGAGCAGATGCAGCCTTCTGAGCCCCACTGCCCATAATGTCATCTCACCAACAGGGTCTCACCAGGTCAGGGAGCTCAATGAACCCACTGCAGCATGAAAGTAGCCATAGGTGATACATAAATGCAAAAAAAAACAGGGACACAGGGTCCATAAGTAACTAGGCATGGCTGTGTTTTGATAAAATTTCTTATTTATAAAAATAGGTGTGGGCCATATTTAGCCCTGGGGGCTGCAGTTTGCCAAATCCCAAGTAAGAGTAACAGAAATAACAGGCACACTGGCCGACGAGTATGAAAATGTTAGCATCTAGTTTGGAGAGAGAAGTGAGGTGCTTTAAAAAAAAATTGAGGGGACAAAGGGAGATAGAAAAGAAGAAACATAAACGGGAAAATGACCATGGGACACTAACGTCTATACATGTGCAAATGTAAGGAAGAGCTAGATTTCAATGAACATACAGATGGCATCATCCCAATCTAGAGAAACCTGAAGAAGGGCACAGGAGATTTTCACACTGAGTGCCACCAAAAAAAAAAAATAGTCACCCATGTCAAAACTGGAGGAGCATGCCTGGACATCTGCATTAGTGGGTCTCTCCTGTTGACCACTGCTCTGTTCCCAATGCCAACCTGCCTACCAGGAGGAGTTCTCAGAATCTAATGGAAAGGAAAGAAATGTGGTCCAGGAGTGAGAAGCCCTCTGTTCCAGCCCCAGGACTGGCACCATGGGAGGACCCCCCCGTCTTTGGGCCTAGGCTTCTCAATGTGTACAAAAGAAAGGGGTAAATGTATTTCTGCAGTTTCTCTCAGCTCATCTGTACAGTTGTTCTGTAGTTTTGCTGTCTTTCTTCCCTCGAGGATTCTATCTGGAAAAGTAGTATGTTCCGTCAGGCTCCTGTTCCCCTGGCGGACAGGAACTCAGGCACCGACAGTGTATTTTGGTCGCGTGCGCCCACGTTGCTGTATCTCATCCCAAACTTACCGCCTGCTTGCACCAGGAACAGCTGATGGCCACGATCTCTTTACTGTGGAAGGAGAACTTTTGCTGGAAGCCCTGGGATATTAGGACAAAAGACACAGAATTTAAAACCACCTAAATCACAGCACACATCTGCCCTCCTGAAGTTCAACGAAGTAAATAAGGCCAGAACTGTCACCATTACTATAGTAACCAGGACGACAGGTGCCACCATCATCACTGTGCTCTCCACCTTCTGCCATGCAAAGAGTTTCTATTTCTGAACCACCCAGAGTGTGAGAAGGAGGAGGCCCTGGCATTTGCTACACCACTAACTTCTCTAAATCAGCCACACACACACACACACAAAAAGAGCTTAAAAAATATTTCTGATCTAATTTTATTATAAGAAAAGGAAAAGTCACTACTGGTTCCCTGATCCAATGTCACAATGGTCACGCATCTCAGAGACTTCATATGCCTTTAGTGTCCGAGAACTCAGGAAAAAACAGAAGTGAAATATCAGAGAGACAGTACCCAGAAGTCAGGGTCTGGGAGAAGTCCAAGGGTAGAGTAGGAAATTCAAACACTTTCATCATCCTCTTGGGATGCCTGCTCACAAAACAAGCAGCTTTTAGTTTTTATTCCTCATCAACAAGATCAATGGAGTAGCAGAAACAACCTTCTTAAATGAACAAACAGAATGACTCTTCCATCAGGAACCAGAGAGGTGGTTTCAGTTGCTGCTGTCTTTAAATAATTACCAAAGAGAAGTTGGCAGTAATGTACAAAGAAAAATTTTTTCCCCACTCTTCAGTCATTTCTCACTGCCTGTGAAATGTAAACCCAAACAAAGAGCCATAACAAAAAACTAAACAGGGCTTCAGTAAGGTGGTCAGAGGAAAAGAGAAAGACGTGATGGGCAGGAAAGTTATTCCAGGCACTGGCCAAATAAGTCCTGCTTCATGTGTATGGATACTTTTAAGTTAAAGTCAGTTTACAGGCTATGGAACGGTGCCTCAAGGGCATCTGGCAGTACCCATAACCTCTGCCTGTTCACTCGACATACCCTTGAGCATTCCCTCCTTTTTAAACCTGTCTCCTCTCTTGGTTCCCTGAGACACCATCCTGGGTCTCCTTCTAGCTCCCTAGTCTCCTGCATGTGGACACTAGCCCAGGATGGGTTCAGTCACCTTTACCTTAAGATTCCACTTCTCATCCTTCTCTTTTGTCCCACCTTCAAATAGCACTTTCATAAACATGAATTTTTAATATCGACTCTCTTGGATTTGAAGAAGTTTTTCCATTGACATCCCCTTCTCAACAAATGAAGTGATCATATTGTCACTCTTTGTGTAGAAAAGAGTCAATACAGCAATCCTGAGACTCCTAACCTTAGAAGGGCTGTTGGCAAGGTTGGGAAACCTGGGTATCAGAAGGGTTTCCCCAATTCCCAGGATAGTTAAGAGTGGCATGCTGGGCCTAAACTGTTGTGCTAAGTGGTCAGCTGAACACCCACTTTCCTGCTGGGAGTCTGGAATTTTGGTCTGTGCTATGCAGAGCGTGTTTATGTGAACAGGTCTCATTAAAACCCTGGGCATCAAGTCTGTAACGAGACTGGTAGATGTTTACCTGGGGTTCACAGCTCACAGCTAGAGGAATTCAGCACCTCCTAAGGACTCCACTGGGCAAAATCCCTGGGAAGCTTGTGCCTGGCTTTTCCCAAACTCCCCTCTTCTCCCCCACCCCCGCACCTGTCTCTTTGCTGACATTGCCTTATGACCTTGGGCTGTAATAAGTCACAGATGTGAGCACTACTACATGCTAAGTCCCACCAAAGAACCACTGAACTGGAGTGCTCTTGGGGACCTCTGACACATGCTCCTCCACCCAGGTAATGGGTCTTACTGCCTCTTTCTGTCAATGACAGCACCTTTTCCCCAGAAGAGGACTTCTTCTGTGACACACACAAGTTCTGGACCAGCAGGCAACCATCCCAGTCCCCAGCACTTGAGGGTTGCAACCGCCCAACAAGAATAACTTGCAGAGGGGACACAAAGTCTAATGGGCCGGAGGATTCGATGTGCAGGGCTTTTCCAAGCTGATGCCAAACTATTCAATATAAAACAAGATGGTACCAAAGAAGACAAAAAGTGGCTTCACGTTGCGGATACTTGAAAAATTCCTCAACATCCCTGAAGTCATTTTTGAGAAAGCAGAAAGATGGATAAAACTAGAGCAACAATTTGTGATGCTGTGTGAAGGAAGGAAACAGCAGCTATGAGCAAGTGTGCTGGGGCCGAGTGGAACCTGAGCACACTGAACTGTCGCCCTGTGGACCCCACGTCCAGCCAGGCATCCAGCTGCGTTACCCGGTCACTTCATTTTCTAACTTCTCTCTCCAGAGACAGTCTGCTTCCCCCTTTATTCTTCACTGCCACCAGCTCAAAATGCAAAATATGACACTGCTTTCTCTATAGATCAAGAAAATAAACTCGTCTTTTGAGCATTTTGGAACCATCCATAATATTCCCAATTAATTTTATTATTCCCAGTCAACATCTATAACCCACTCCTTTCTGTTATAAAGCCCTGTCTACAGTGAGACAGGTCTAATTATATTCTCAACTTGATTTATTCTTTTCTATTTCCATTTGTTGCCCCATGCTGTTTTCTCATCCCCAGCCCACCAGCAGGAAAGCCTACACCATTTCATATACACTAGTACCTAGATTTTATGTCTACTACAAAATCTAAAAAACATTTTCCAAATCACCTCAATGCACATGGTCTCTCCTCCTAAACTAAGGGCCACCTGTACCTCCCCTTGCCACTAACAAATAGTTGCCCCAAGAAGCTGGTTATATGATGTGGAGATGTAAGGTCTTCAAATAAAATCCTTATTCTTAGCAACTCGGCACAGCCTTCAAACATCATAGGCAAGATGGACACATTTTCTTATTAACTGAACCAGAAAGCTTTTGCTACGACATCATGATCCAATCCCAAACTTCATGCCATGCAGCCTTTAAACACCTGACCTGAGATACCTGAAAATGGGCATCCTCATTAGACCCTTCTCCAGGAAAAAAAACAGCCCCTATAAGCAATACAAGGACTCTCAAGTGCTGGGGACTGGGATGGTTGCCTGCTGGTCCAGAACTTGTGTGTGTCACAGAAGAAGTCCTCACGGACTCACGGTTTCCGAGGTCCCTAGACAGCCTGCTCCATTTCTCAGGGCTCAAGGTGAGGCTGAACATTAGGGAGGAAGAATATAGTGGAGGGAAGCAGCCCACATGATGATTAGGAAGCAGAGAGAGAGACTCCACTCTCCAGATGCAAAATATATACCCTAAAGGCACACTTCCAGTGACCCACCTCTTCCAGCCACATCCTACTGGCCACTCAGTGAATCCTGTCAAGGGATTAATTCACTGACTGAGTCAAGGCTCTCATATTCCAATCATTCCTCCTCTGAATCTTCTTGCATTTCAGCTCTTGGGGGGCACCTCACCTCCAAACCATAACAGTGATCTTAGGTAAATCACTTAACTCTTCTAACATCTTTCTTTACCTAAAAATGGAAATAATGAATTGAACCTCTCCTACACCTCCAGGTGGGTTATAAGCATCAAATGAAAAAATTGTATCTGGGAGTTCTTATAATGCCTTCAATAGGTGTGTGTGTTTATTATATGTGAAAGAGTAATTTCATCACTAAGTTCTAGCAGCAGGAACCTCTTCTACCACCTTGCTGAGAAAGCCTTCTGAATGCACGATGTGACTTAGTTTAGGGTGAGTGTATTCGGCTGCTGCCCTCCAGTGAATACTGGCCTTCTCTTCCAGCTTCAGGGAGAAAACAGATGCAATCCACTGTGACACGGACAGGCTGATTCCAGAAACAAATGACAAGGCCAATCACAACTAGCCTGATGCTTATGCAGAATTGTGGGGGGGGGTTCCTTGGAAATGAGCCTGGTGGTCATCATCTCTGTGCTTTGTTTTGGATTCTAGTCTGGCAGAGTCACAGTGACCATGGCTTTGGGGTTATTATCTAACACAGACACATAAATAGAATTGCCTGAGAGCCGTCATGGACCAAGTTCCCATAGACCACCTGCCATGGGAGATTTTGGCCAGGCAAAAAGAACCAGATTCCAAATCACCCGTGTTAAAATGCTGGCCCAAATCTGCTATTATGGTACTGACAGATGCCTGACTACATTTAAAATGACTCTGATTTTTAAGGGCTATTTTGTTCCGCACTATCAAAGAGGCAAATAGGGATATGAGCCCAGATGCTTTGGATCCAACTGACTTCAGAATTAAAAATATCAAGAATACCGAGGGACAAAGTCACTCTCCTGGTTCTTTGGGTTTTTCAATCACACTGAGCCTTTGGAATAAAGCTTATACAAGACTTATTCTGAGCAGCTAAAGCTCTGTGGCATCTCTTTCTTCTGCCATCTAGGGCACATACCAAATGGCACTCAGTTTTACAGCCTTGGCTGAAACCGGAAAAAAGAACCTTACCTGAAATAAGCTGAAATTATTTTCTCGTTTCTGTATTGAACTGAAGTTTGAAGTGGGGGGATCTCTTGACCTTAGGTGGGTTCCCTCCCTGTGTGATTTGATCTTGTCCTGCACAAGTTGATACTTTACTTGCCTCCAAAACTAAGCAGCAATAAAATAAGCCTATCCACATCCACCAGTGTGTGCAAAACCCATAACTGTTATTGAGGACAGACCCAAGTGAAATAAAAATAAGATTAAATCAATTTATCTCCAGTAATATCTATCTTAAAAAGATGACTTCAAGCATTTTTGCTCAAATATTTCCTATGATTTTTGAACTAAATATATACTCTTTTACAAATTTCATATTTCATCTCTAAAATGTTTATCATAAGTGGAAAAGCAAATTTCATAACTTCCAGAAAAATAAGATTGAAATTTTAAAATAAACAGCCATATCACTCTTTTAAATGAATATCATGGGAATATATCTACCAATATATTTTACTATAACTAGTGATTTGGTACTCACTGATGTAAAAGGAGGTTTTTCCTCTTTAAGCAGGACTTTGCTAGAAAAC